TTCTGATTGCTTTATCAGCTTCTACAATAAAAATAGTAATTACTGCAATTTAAGACTAATGAATAAATCACTGTATTAAAACAGGAACAAAAAAGTTTAATAGGCAATCATATGTAATCATTTGGCAACTCTGTTATTAGTGTGGGCAAAGTAAGCGATTCTCCTAAACCTTTGCTTTGGGTTTTTTGTGGGTCTTGTTTTTTTTCCTTCAACCCAGATTAAATTCCTCTTTCCTGATTTCCAGCAGAGTTTTGTGATGCCATGTCAGATATCTACATTAGCTGGGCTCTTATTCCACAATTCCACAAATACCTGCTCACCTAAGAAAGCATGGCTGTGTAGATAGCTGCATTGAAGTCATGCCTGCATTTGGGTTTTGTCACATCACAGTTGTGTCGTGGAAAGATATTTTCCAGCTGTGCTGTACTCTCTTTGCTACTTCTCTCATTGTACCCAAATGTTCCTCAGCCTCAATCAGCATGCTTCCTCTTTTTTCTGGAGCTGCTTTCCCTTTTCACGTGGTGCCACAATCTCCTTCCTCCCTTCAGCCCTCCTCTTCGGCTTTGCTCCCTGCCACCTCCTCCTCAGAAGTGTCACGGAACATGTTACCCATGACGGATGTACTTAGTTTCACACTGAGGCCTTCACGTCAGTCTTGTCTTGTCCTGAAAAAAATACGCATAACTTCATTATCGTGCTTCCAGCTCAACCATGTACACAGCACAAGCTGTAGTTTAGAGGAAAGTAGTGGCTATTGACCACTAACAGTACGGTGGTGTGCTCTCTATGGCTGTACATTTTTGTTAGAGTTGGAAAAAGTAGTAGCTGAGTGAGTCATGAAACCCAATGTAGCAAAATTCAGTTGTAAATGAAAGAGGAACATTTCCATATTCTTCATTTGGCTTAATTCCTGTGCCTAATGGCTGTGTATATACCATAAACATTGTGAAGGAGCAACCATGGAAACACTTGTTTTCTTGCATTGCTAAATTTACTCAGGGTTAAATATTAACACAGCGCCTGGCATTACTTTAAAAGCAAAAATAGCTAAAGCGTGACTCACTATGAGTCATTTACTGCTAGTCCTGCTATACTGCCTAGAGCTTGACATTGAACAAGTTGGCAGCCTGCATTGCTGCATTTTTTTCTAGGAACTTTGAACACATTTCATTCTTGTGAATTCTCTTGTGCAACAATATTGAACACAGCAGTGTGTTTATTTTGCTTCCAAAGTCGAATGAATCAGAAAATGGTGAAACAAAGAGTATTTTTCTTGGAGATTCTGGAAGAGATGGATTCTGAGAATTATTTCTTTAGCTGCAATAACGAAATGATTGCATGGATGTTAAAAGTTAATTACATTTTATCCAGATTATGTAATATATATTTTAAATGTATTAAGATACCTTTATTACTGTTATTGATTTGCATTTTCAGCAAAGGCACATGTGGAATCAGAGAGCTACTCCTATAGGTTGAGAACGTTTTCTGTTTGGTTGGCAAAGTTTTATGTTGGGAAGGCAGTGAGCTCTGAAGGGGCAGACAAAATGAGGCAACTGTATTCCTATTGGCCTCTGTATTTAAAAGGCACACCCTAAATACGGTGCTTGGTATCTGACAGCCAGCAGTTTGCTGGCTGACTGTGGGAATGCCTAAAAAGATCAGCTGATTTCAGTCAGATGGGAAGGGGTAATGAGAGAGGGCTGAAACCAAAAGCAACTTGCTGAGGCAACCATGTGATGAGATCCTGAAATACACTGGCAGGGCCAAATATCACTCTTCAGTGTGCTAAAATTTTGATTCCACCTAAATGTCATTTCTAACTAAAAGCCACTTCTTAGAACAATAGATAATAAAATACTTTAATGTTTTCCATAATTTTTTCTACTTAAAAAAATCTTATGCTTCAACATACAACTTTCTGCATGTGTTTAAACCATATATCAAATTAAAATACTAATAATATAAGTTCAAAACAGCTACAAAAGTAAAATCCCACACACCTAGGTATGGATAAAAAGCTTGCTGTTTTTCTTAAAAATAATACTTATTATGAGCCTCAAAGATATCCCAGAGACAGAGATGGTGACTCAACTTTTATTCAAATAAAAGGGAGGGTTCACCGGCCAATCCCCAGTGAGGTCTCTCAACTTAATGGAGGTCGCAGCCTCTTTTGTCCCCTTGCCCGAAACGCAGGTTCCTCCTCATTTCCCCACTGGCTGAGGAGCTCAGGGTTACAGCTTTCTCTACAGTGTGTCCCCCCATTACATGGTCCCCTTGTTACTGGGCAAACTGCACCTTTCTGTAAGTAAACAACTGAACAACCAGTAACTTGTCCCTTGGCACCACCAAATGCAACCACACTACAAATTTTGCAAGAACACCTATTTATTCCTAACAGTCCTTCCTTCTCTTCTTTTATGATGTTTTTGCAAAAGGTACTATCGCGTTCCTAATAATTATCTCTTGGTTCGCTTCGTTACTTAAGGTTAAAGTTTCTTGAGAATGAATAGTTGGTCCTTCAGTTGTTATTTCAGGGTCATTAGGTTTAGCTACTAATTGCCTCCCCTTTATCACATGTGCAATAATTTTTATGAGACAAGGAATCAAGATACAAGAATACAAGATAGGAAAATTAAGGTAGCTAGCCTCAAACAACAAAGAATAGTATTTTCTTTATTCCCGGTCTGACTGGAAGCCATGAAAACATATCTATGTCCCACCCCTTCGAAGTTTGAACTGAGACATGGGCTAACTTTTGAATTTCCTTTTCTATCTGCTCTACCGCTTTTCCATTGACAATAATTTCCAGGCAGCAGTTTGAGCTATTTAATTTTCCACATACTCCCCCTTCCTCTGTAAACAAACAGAAGTTCTTGTTTTTTGATTTTTAAATCATCATATACTTTAATTCCCAAAGTATTCCCTTGTATATGTTTTAGTAAAAAGAATAAAAGTTTAGTGTATCCTATAAAACAAATTCCTTTCCAATTTTCAATCAATCTTTTATATGCTTGTTGGCCACGGATCCAATAGTGTCCTTTTAGTGCCCAGGTTCCTTTGGAAAAGGGGCCATCCCAGCGGTCCTCATCTTTCGGGACTTGAAAATAAAGAGTATTTTCCTTCCCGAATGGCCCACGGACTAAGTGTATTTTGAGATCATCGCTGGAATAGTAACATTCCCAGGCTCCTCCCATATCCTGCCAAGTACAGTTATCGTTTGATAAATTGGTTGCAGATCAGAATCTTTGAAAAAAAGTTCTGTTCCCATTTTGGTGTTGCCAAGTTTTACAATTCTCATTTGAACAATCATACCCTGGTGACAAGGTGCTTTCACAAGTACTCTTTCCTACTTCCACTCCTTTCTCTTGTGCTCTATTAAGGCAATGCTCCTGTTCCTGTACGAGGTAACTGCCAAGGGCTGCTGTCCTCTTCCCAATATCCTGTACCACTACGAATCTCACTAGGGTTACTGACCCACCACTTTGGTTGTACTGGTTCAGCTACTCAGGGCCAGCTCTCTGATCCCTCTGGTCCTCCACAGACCCAACAATTAGTTAGATTAAAGGCTTTTGCAATTTCTTCCCTTAACACTAAAAACTTATTGCTTTCTATTTGCCTAGTGCACAGGTGACACAGAAACAGGAACACAGGATCAAAAGTTTCATCTTCATCTGATTGTCTCTAGGAAGGTCTGTGTGAGTGGAAATTTAGTAGATGCTCAGTAGGTAGATGCAGGAACTTCTCCCTTAATCAACACATGTGCTTCTGCTCACTTTTCCTGTGTAGTGTAAGTTTAATTTTTCCTTCTTTCTCTTGTAATTGTGAAGTCCAGACCTCTGATGCTTTAGAAGGTTTTGCTTGTGTATGGTGAGTCCACCAGCTCTCAGCAGTCGTAGCTGCTGTCTCTGTGGTCAGTAGCACCTGATATGCTCTGCACCACTTCGTCACCAGTGATGCTTCTTTCCACTCCTTAACTAAAACTCAATCTCCAAGGGAAGGGTTTTGCCAGCTGAGCTTCCTGTCAAAGAGATTTTCAACAGACAGTATCTTGGCCACATACTGCTTTATGAACAGATTAGTAATTTCTATCCTGCTTTCTTTTTGTAGCCTTACCAGATAAGGGATTTCAAACATTATCTAGAAAAGTTCTCATGTACTAGTGCCTTGCCTCTACAGGATAATAACCCTTTTTTTCCCCCTTAATTTCCCAAACACATGCACTAATCCATATGCATATTTGGAATCTGTATTAACTATTTTCTTTCTGGTACTTTCTGGAACTATTTTCCCCTGGTACATTTCACAAGCTCATATCAGAGCAAATAGTTCAGCTGTTTGTGCTGACCAGATAGAAGTTAATCTACCACAGTCTTTTAATTGTTCTCCTTCAATTATAGCATACCCAGTGTAACGCTTCCCTTCTCTTACTTGTGAGGATCCATCAGTAAACACATTCTGTCCTCTAGATAGTAGACCATCTGTTAGGTCACTTCTAGCTCATGTTTGAAGATCTATTACCTGAATGCAATCATTAAGTGTTTTTCCTTTGGGGTTTTGCTCATCCTTGTTTAAACAAGAATCTGAATTAAAATTCTTCCACCTTTGATTCCTAAATCGTCTTGCTCTATTAGACAAGTTTCATACTGTAACAGTGGTGCATTAGTCATCCATTTAGAGGCTTTTTCTGTAATCAGAAGAGGATTCCTAGCAAGAAATCCCAGTCTTTCCAAGTGTGATCTGCATTCTCTAAGTATTCATTTATTCTCTTCTCGTCTCCTGTAGGATCATCTAAATAAGATGGAAGCTATTTCTTCAATGCTCTTATATCCTGAATTGTTAATGGGACTGTTACAAAACCAAAACCTCCTCCTTGGCCCCCCAAATGAAACCTGCCTCCATGGCATTTGCAAAACTTTTTCTCTAGCAGTACATTGTGTCTCTGCCGTAGTTCTTGAGAGAGATAGGATTGAATTTGTTTCCCCTTCCCCCTCCTGCAGCGTTTGTAAACCTCTTTCTCCATTGGGACCCCGTTCCTTCTTGAAAATGTTCCGCGAGGAACCGCAACTCCTCACCCTGATCCGCGCACCTGACTCGGTGACCAACCACGACACCCTCCTGAGTCAACGGGCGGTGGTCGCTGTCAAACCGCGCCGCTGCTGCCTTGACTTGGGCGGGAAGGGAGTTCCCACCACACCCCATGGCGAACCCGCACCGCAGATGCTTCGTTTTTGGCGAGAATAAAAAAGGTTCCCGCTGCTTGGGTTTTGGCAGGAAAGGAAGTTCCCGTGGTCTACAAACCCCCTCTCCTCGTTACTGCCACCCCTCATCCCTATGGGCTGTAACTCTTTAGTCCTTTTTGCCCCCACCTTGGGCATTTTTCTTTCACCCTCCCTTGGGTATTTTCTGGAGGGATATAAGGGTCGTCACCCTTTTTGCCAGATCCCTTATCTGGCTTTTTGCTCCCCACTTTAGGCATTCTCCTTTTCCACTCCCACATCCCTCTTGGGTATTTCCTTTCACCCTCCCTTGAGCATTTTCTGGAGCAATAGAAGGGTCATCATGCTTTTTGCCAGATCCCCTATCTGGCCTTTTGCCATGGGCATTTTCCTTTTTGTCCCCCCTGGGCATTTTCCATCCATCCTCCATGGCCATTTTCCCCCTTGGGCATTTTCCTTAATGCCTCCCCCCAGCATCCTCCGCTTTGCCCCCCCATGGCACCTTCCTCATTGCCCCCTCTCAGGCATTTTCCTTTTTTTTCCCTTTTCCTTTGTTTCCCCTGAGAAGTCCCCCTTCTCCCCCTTCCAGCTCCCATACTACTCACCAGTGAGTCCTGTCCCTGTGGACTCCTTTCCAAATCAAAACGAATGTTCTTTTACCTTACCTTCCCCTCTTGTCTGTCTCTGGATGGTCTTGGGAACCCCAATAAACCATCCGATACTGGCCACTAATGAAAGGAACTGATCACCAAAACCAGGGGTGCTCCTTTCACCAACTGCTGCCCTTGGAGTGTGAGTCTATCCCAGACTGATCTCCCATTTGTTCTGAAAAATAATAAATCTGTTTCTGTTATTATGAGCCTCAAAGATATCCCAGAGACAGAGGAGCTAATTCAACTTTTATTCAAATAAAAGGGAGGGTTCACCGGCCAATCCCCAGTGAGGTCTCTCAACTTAATGGAGGTCGCAGCCTCTTTTGTCCCCTTGCCCGAAATGCAGGTTCCTCCTCATTTCCCCACTGGCTGAGGAGCTCAGGGTTACAGCTTTCTCTACAGTGTGTCCCCTCATTACATGGTCCCCTTGTTACTGGGCAAACTGCACCTTTCTGTAAGTAAACAACTGAACAACCAGTAACTTGTCCCTTGGCACCACCAAATGCAACCACACTACAAATTTTGCAAGAACACCTATTTATTCCTAACACTGTGTTCCTTTAACTACAGATGATGGAAATAGAGATTGTAAGGTACATTCATCTGTAAATTTAATAACACATGCTGTGCAGGATCCTTATAAGCTAAAGGATTTTCTCTATCTAATCTGCTTGAACATCAACTTCAAAAATTTCTCTTGAAGTGGTTTCCCTATTAAAAAATCTCATTATGATGACTCAAGAGAGAAATAAGAATGATTAATTAAGCTTGACAGTGGCATCCTAAACACTGTCCTGATATGCACTATTCTGTCTCATTTCAACATGAATTTGTATTAACTGCACTGAAGATACTTCTGTTTAAAATTTTCAGTTGTCTGGTAAACTTAACTAAATAAGGCTAAAGTAATTTTTCTTTACTTTTTCCTAACTAACAATCATACTAAAAAATGATGCCATATTATTTTCTTTAAAATTAAAAAAATGATTGTGTTATATCAAACAGTACAAAGTGGGAAAGGATTTTGATTTCTTTTCTGTGTTACCTCTCTGACAGTGACCCTCAAATCACTGTTAATTAAATGATTTCAGTAGTTACTGATGGTATATGCTCTTTAGCAATCTTTTTGTAGCTACTGAATAGGCTCTGCCTCAGCCACACCTCCAGGCATGTTAGGCAGAATATAGACATGAGAATTTATGTTAGGAGTAAGCCTGTACCTTTTAAAAGACAGATCTGTGTAGGAGGTTTTTCTGCTCTGAGGATCATCAGAAAGACTGGAGCTGCCTAAGGCATGATATCTCTTGGGCATCTCTCTGCATGTTGTGTAAGTGATGTCTCTATTAAGGTGCAGCAAATTGTTCCCTTCACATATGTGTGTGTTTCCATGTACACGTTCACACACTGACACAGGGTATGGGCAGGGCAGTGACGTGCAGTCTCTTTAGCACATATCAGAAGACCGTGTGCTGAGCTCTAGATTAAGCAAACAGAAGCGTGATAGTCTAGCACTTGACGTGAACTTCATTACCAAGTATTGACTTTTTCCATAAACACATGTGAAATGCTCTGTTGAAGTGAAACCAACATCCTGTTACGTGTGCATCCTGAAATGACAGACGAAAACTCTCAGTTCTCAAATCACTTTCTGTTCCAGTTATGAATCCAAATGATTTTCTTTAATATTTTCACATGACAGACAAACAGAACTTTATGGAAAGCTCTAAGTCATTCAGAGTGCTGAAAGAATTCATTCCCACTTAAGCACTACAGGCTGTGAGGATGTCCATCTTGTTACATTCTTCTACTGTGTCTTGAAGTGTGCTTGAGGTGCAGTGTAGGCACCACTATGTCTGGGAGTTGTCAACAGAAAAGTGATAGGAATTTTGACCTAATGAATATCCAGGCTCTGTGCATATATCCAGGTTCGGCACTGCTTTCAACAGCAGAATGGAGGCTTTTTTTTCCCCACCCTTCAAATTGATTTTATCAGGTACATCTAACCTGAGGAACTCTTTCATATATAATGAATGGATGAGATGCTTAGAGTGCAATTCCTTATTCCCTTGGAGTTCTGAATAATGCAGTTATTACTAAACAAATTTACCATTAAATTACTTGCATAGCATTAGCAACAGATAGCCAGGAAAAAAACTGTTGTCTCTTGCACTACTTTCATGTGACTGTGCCCTGTTAGAACCATCCTTACTGACTAAGGTTGTCCTGTGAGCTTTTAATCTTAAAATAGCTCTTTTTTGCCACAGATTGTCTTAGATTGATTCACATGCATAGTCATACGAGATCCAGTGGCATCATTGAACTGACTGTTAATCACTGTCACCTTTTGAGAAGAGACCAAATGGTAAATTTCTCATTTCTAAAGAGCTGCCAAGTCTTTTCCTTTCTCAAAAGCCATTAGCCTAGCAGATTTCACTGCTTCAGTTTTCTGTTTCTTACACACTTAAAATCTATGGCAAACCTTTTATACTTATGGTAGCAGGTGTGTTTGTGAAGTATGAGTGGAAAAATTTTCCCTGAGATTAACTACAGATCAGAAACTGCAAACAGATGTTTACAATTGAAAAGATCTTCCAAGTCATGAGAGGCCTTAGTCTTGGGCCAGTCAAGTCACCAAAGACAATAGGAGTGAAGACACATGCTTTTCACTGAAGATACATGCTTTTCAATTAATGAGTTAGAAAATCCTTCTTTTAAGATATAACTACTTATGTATTTCAGATCATCTGTGCTGTTTGAGAAAGTTAAGATACTGAAGGTTGACTTGCTGCATCAACACTGCACATTGCGAAGTTAATTTCCTAAGATCACATTTAGGAATCCAAGTCTGGAACCATATTTTTAGTTTATATATAAACTTGGAGTATCTCCTTTGCTCCCTATTGAGAAATTTGATTATCATCTTTATTATGTTGCCCTCTGTATGATGGGCAAAGTCTGCTCCTCAGGATGAGTGTCTAGAGACATGTGCAGACGTATTGAGTTCCTCTGCCTGCGTTGTCTCTACATCTAGTGAGTTCAGTGCTATGCAAATGTGGCTATACAAATTCTGAATCAGCACTGGTCTCCGTCAGTTCACCCAAGGGAATGGGCACAGGAGCTCTGTTTACACTCACCTATGTAGATGTGCCCGCAGATTCTCCAGAATTCCAGAGAATGGAGATTGTAATTAGAACAATGTGCTCATACTTCTGCTCATATAGATATCTGTACGTGTGGGTTAATTTGCTTTTACTGCTTGTTCCTCCTGAGCAGAGGTCAAGCCTCTGCTTGAGACCTCAGCATGATTCATATTCCACTGAATATCTAGCTCAGCATCATTACTGTATTTTTTTTTAAGCAGGTAAAAATAGGTTGCAAGAACAAAGAAGCTTCTAATAGGCTGTGAACCTGCTGACATACCTTCTCTTTAAGGAGAGACACAAAACAAGAGAAAGCATTCTGTATGTAGGATATATGAGGCTGTTTCTAAAATTGCTCGAAAAGAGGTGCTTAAAGGAAAAAGATCATGTTTGCAGTTCAAGTATTGTTTTAGACCTTAGTAAAATACTACACAATGTGAATCAGTCGATGGTTATCTGTGATGAGCAGGTAAACAAAAGATTTATTTCCCAATGGGGTTTTCATATGATGGTGACAAACTCCATTGCACAACAATGGTCACATTCCAAAGCTGCAACCAGGTTCTGGAGGGCTTAATTTCACAACTGCTTACTGTGTCCTATTGCATTACAGTGACCTTTCAATAAAGAAGGGAGATTACGGGCTTGTTTTTTTGTTTTTTAACTTAAAAACTCAATGCTCAATGACTATATAGTGCAGTGCCCTAGTTCTACATAGCAGATTTTATCCTTGACATCTTTAAACTATGTCCTCTTGTAAAATACTCAGAAGCTTTTGTGTTTTCTACCTTTTTATTGATCTTCTACCTTCCTATTAATCTTCTAATGTGTAAGTCTACTTAAGGTTTGCATTTATGTTAGCAATAGAGTTAATTTTTTAAAAATTCTGATGTTGAGTGACTGACATTAGAAGTATATTTTCCTGATGTAGCAACTTACATCTCATCCTTCTAACTTAGTAACACAACAAAGTTATTTATTATTTAGTTTGTATGAGGTTCTTTTTTTTTCAAGGTGAACTCATGAAGCCCTGATTTCTAAAAATTGTTCAGTTGAGTGAATAGCTACAAAGCAAAAATAAAATCATGTTCACATGATATGATATGAGAAGGATATAAAAAGTCATCTAAATATTATTTAGTTCTTGGCTGTTTGAATTTATTTTGTGCTTATGACATTCCCTACCTAGTGACTCTGCTAGAAGTACACTCATACTTTGTAGTGTGAAACAG